AAGAGCAAGAGGCCACCTTGAATCATCTTCGGGAGTCGTGATAGGAAGTGATGACCAGCAGTTTCAACCAAGTGCTTATTTTTTTCCTTTCTGCTAACCATTTTGCTGTGGTGTATGGGGATAGGTGGACTAATGCAATATACCATAGGAACTTAAAACTGCAGAAAAAGTGGATGAGAAGTATTCTTTGGCATTGTCACTTAGGATTTTGATGACTTGACCGAATTGATTCTTGACTTCATTCAGAAAGGAGGTGAAGATGGATATCAATTCAAAATGATGTTTCATAAATAAACCCAAGTGCATCTTGAATATTCATCAATGTACATAACAAAAAACCTAAAACCAAAACATAAGACGTGACTAGGTCCCCTGTTATCAGAATGAATAATAGAAAAACTAGAATCACACGTTGATTGTGACCTTTTTAGGAAGAAGATCTAACATGTTTTCCTAGTTGACATGACTCACATTCTAAAGTCTTGATACTACTAAGGTCCGAAAACATTTTTTTTTTGAATTTCAACAAATGGGATTACCAAACCGATCATGTAACATTTTAGGACTAGGAGCTGTAACACATGACACATGTGGAAGAGATAAATGGTATAGTCCTCTAATTTCATATCCTTCTACAATCTCTCTCCCCGACCCACAGTCTTATATAACAAAAGATTTGTTATCAAAGGTTATTGAACAATTTAACGATTTGGTTAACTAATTTAAGGAAATCAAATTGAAAGGAGCTAGGGACAAATAGGACAAATTTGAGATTTAGAGAGAAAGACATGGAGGCTTAATCGACTCCCTTTGGAGAAACTTTAGAACCATTTGCAAGGGTTATGAATTGAGGTGTTTCTTGAAAAGAAATGGTTGAGAACAAATAGGTATTACCAGAGATATGATCAGAAGCACCCGAGTCAACTATCCATTAATTTTGACCTTCTAGGGTTTGAGAATTGCAAGCTATTGGTGTACTTGGAGGATGAGATGTTTGTGCCATGCTGTTGGATTTTAATCGTAGATACTCCTGATATTCATCCTTAGTGAACTTTGAATTTAGAAGATTCAGCCAGAGAGATGTTAGCTGTTTTGGGAGGAAAACTATTAAGGAAGTAGCAGTTCTCTTGGGTGTGACCCATTCTTTTGTAATATGTGCACTAACCTTGCCCTCGACCTCCATGTCCTCCTCTAGTGTCACGTTCTACACTTCGTTGCGTGGCAACCATGATAGATGGTTCTACTACTTCATGAGCTTTTTGAGTTTGAGGCATCGGGACTCGAAGAAGGCGTGTGGTCAAGGTTTCCATGGAGGGAACTTCATGACTGGTTAGAAGTTTATCTCTAATATGAGCAAAGTCGAGATGTAGAGCCCGAAGAATCATCACCATATAATACTTGTCCAACCTCTTCTTGATATCCTCCAAAGATTCCACTTCCAAAAAATCCAAAGCTCTTCAACCGTAGATTGAGCTTCAGTCATTAAAGACACCATATCACGGTTTATCATTCTAAGAGATGCAAGCTTGTTTGCCGTATCATAAAGACGTTGAATGTCGTTGTCATAGATGCTTTGAGATTTCTTCCAAAAAGAGTGACAAAGTCTGAAAGTTCTCAAGGATATAAGGAGTCTTGGTTTTACTGATTGCCATAACAGGGTACACAACTGGAAATTTGTTTGTTTCCACTTATCAACTTTCTCGGCAGGCACATGGCTTCCATCTTGCTCAAAGTGGTCATAATATCCTTGGCTAAGAAACCACATTTTGACTGCAGCAGACCAAGATAGGTAATTTTTCCCATCTAGTTTCTCGAAAGTAATTGAGAGACTTCCAGATAATGAAATAACACTGCCAGTTGCCATTTTTGGTCAAGGAAACAAAAAATATCCACGCAAAACAGAAAAATATATGACTTTCCACAAGGGTGGCTACTGGACTATACTAAAATAAAGTTTCAAGGGTAAGGACAGAGAGAGGAGGTTTTGAGGACACTATGAAGGTGATGCAGTGGTGTTCCGATGAGCAGATGGTGGTGCGCGGACAACATGCGTCGGTTCTGAACATAAACATTATGTGTGTGGCGGTGTGTGAAGCAGAACTGAACATCGACACAATTAGGGTTGGTCATTGCGTTGAGAGACGATCCACATCTGATGGTTGTCGGACCTATGATTGCGGACAGTGCAGACAGTGAGGAAACATCAATAGTGGTTGATAATGCTAGATAGTTTCAGATAAAGGTAGAAAGTAGTAAATCACTATTGGACAATGGTGGAAAGTGGCAGACACTTTAGATAGTTCTGGACAGCTCGCTCTGATACCAACTTAAAATTAAAATGGATACATATATTTCTAGAGGGCTTGCCTCTTCTTTAATCTTAAGGTTTCATTTATAGGAAGAAGAAATTAACTAGCCACTCTTTTGACAACTCACCTTGGTTGGAACACAACTCACACACAGCCAATACACAACAACTAATTATTCTAACATATATTAGGAGAAATAAAAGGGACAAACAATTATAATTGTTTGTGGGTAGGTTTTGTTGTCTCGGACTTTTATAAAGTCTGGGTAGGCAGTTGTTTTTAGTAGTTTTTTAGGAAGTTTTGTAAAGGGAAGGCTAGGGAGAGTTTGGTCCTCTCAACAGACCAAGGCTAGTGTAATAGTTTGGATTAGTGTGCTTATTTCATTGTTAATAAAGCTGCCTGACTTGTTTGGGTGAACATCCAAGAACCTGTGTTGGAAGTCTTTACACTGGTAATAAAATCTGGGTTCCTATCATTGGTATTCAGAGCCACTTTCCTAGTGTTGTGGTGGCTTTGTGACATGGTAAATACGATTGGAGTGCATAATGAAAGAACAAGAACATGAAAATCAGAGAAGGTTCCAAAGGTTGGAGGAAATGCTTACAAGGTTGACAGGGTTGGTGGAACATTTCACATCCTTTGATAGACAAATAGCGTACAATGCTTCTGTTGCTAAGGAAGGTAGTGCGGGCAGTCTAGAGAATGACGGAGGGAATGAAAGTGGTCGTTTAGGACTCACTTAGGAAACATGGAGAAGCTAGATAGTCCTGTTTTTGCAGGAGAAGATGCTTATGGCTGGACTAACTAATTGGTTGAAGAGATGTTTTTGGTTGAAAGAAGTCAATGAAGAAGAGAGGACGAGGGTTGTTTTGGTGGCTTTGGAGGGAAAAGCCCTGATTTGGTTCCAATGGTGGGAGACCTGCTATTCGAATCCCACATGGGAGGCTTTCAAAAAGGTGGTTGTTCAACGGTTCCAACCAATAGTGATTCAAAATCCTTTTGAAGTCTAGATTGGGGCAAATTGGGCATGTGGGAGAGTATATTGAACAATTTGAGCAATATGCGGGGTTCTTGAGAGGTATAAGGCAAGATTATTTGATTGACATTTTCTGAATGGATTGAAGGACGAAATAAGAGAAGAGGTTAAGTTGTATGAGCCTAAGAGCCTTGCTGAGTTAATGATTAAGGCTCAAATGGCGGAGGAAAAGTTGAGTCACCATCGAGGGGGACTCTCTAACTGTGCAACTTCAAAGTAACACCTACAGACAATTGCCACCTACTCGCCCTTCCTTAAAGGAAGGGGGAAATTTAGTGGGTTTTACCAACTCTAACAAAGGAAGTGGAGAGAGCATGGCTGTGTGAGCACGATCAATAGTTCTCATGCTGGGACTCAACAAGGAGGGGCACCATTTAAAAAATTGTCCCAAGAAGAATTGCAAGATAAGATAAAAAAGGGCTTATGCTTCAAGTGTGATAAAAAGTTTAGGCCTAATCATACTCGCAAAAATAAAAAGCTCCATATGTGCTTATTTCGAAAGAGGAATTTCAGGAGTTAGGGGAATCTGTTGCCTGCATTAATAAAGAAGTTCCATACTTTCACCTTGTAGGCAGTTGTTTTTAGTAGTTTTTTAGAAAGTTTTGTAAAGGGAAGGCTAGGGAGAGTTTGGTCCTCCCGAAAGACCAGGGCTAGTGTAATAGTTTGGATTAGTGTGCTTGTTTTTCATTGTTAATAAAGCTGTCTGGTTTTTCTGGGTAAACATCCAAGAGCCTCTCAGAAGTCTTTACAGTGTTAATAAAATCTGGGTACCTATCAGTTTATTAATCAATGAATGAAGCTAAGATACTTCAAAGTAGCAGTTTTCTCTGTGGCATACCCACATTTGACATATCCATGTCAAACACTGCACCGATAAATCAAATAATCATAGTATCTATTTTTAATTTCTTTTGCATTTTCTTTTTAAAACATGTATACTCTCATAATTTAGGATAGAATCTTATATTATTATTATGCTGAGAATACAATCCATGTATACAAGGCTAGGAAGCTATTTTAGGATGCATGATAATAACTCCTAGACAACCAGATCCCTATGATTAAGGGATATCTCCATTATTCACAATAATTATAATCTACTAAATAAGGAAAAAATATATTTAATAAAAAACAATGATTCCGACAGAAATAAAACAGATTCTAACATATAGAAATAGGAATATTGCAATTCCTTATTTGAAATGTGTCAGGTCTTCTAATTTTTATAATTTGTCACATTTCGCTGATGTATGTTTATTTTATTTTTTCATATAGATAATGTTGGCATTACTCTAGCTGGTTAGTGTTGAGTTTGTATTTCCTGTTATTTAATAATCACTTACTGTAGAATGCAGAGAGACATCTGGCAGAATTGCTTCTTGCCCCTTCCACCCTTTTTGTTATACTATTCGGTACAATCATCTTTTATAGGAAAAATATATTTACTTTCATAGAAAATAGGTGCCCAATATCTCTGCTTACCAGAAACGCATAGTCCTGGAAAAGTGATGAGCGTTACACTGAGAGTAGGCTTACGAACCTTGTTATAATTCTGTTTCTTAATGGTCCCTTGAGTTTCTTGATGTCTTTGTGTTTTGTTCATTACAGATAGTGATTGGTGATGAGATTTTCTTTTTTACTTTTTACTTTTGCAGGAGGATATCCATCACCTCTTAATTACCATTTCTTTCCTAAATCTTGCTGCACGTAGGTACTTTTCTTCTGTAATGTCATATTTTCTAGGTATATTTAAGAGTGAAATTTGCACTATCTAACAGGTCAGTTAATGAAGTAATATGCCATGGAATTCCTGATGCAAGGTAGGTGTTCTGTTGCCTTTCTAATCTATCTATATTATGGTTTTCTTTGTTGCCGGTATTCAGTTTTTCTCGTGGCTGTAATTATTGTAAACTAACTTTCCTAACTAATGTTTCCTTGGTACTTGACACTATATGAGTGCAGGTGCCACTGTTAGAGAGTGAAGAGTGTATGAGAGGAGGAGAAAGCATTAATTACCTAACTGCCTAACTGTTTAGCAGTTAGGTAAGGCGGGAAGGGGAACTGTGTATAAAGGGTTGTAGGGCACATTGTCCTGGGAGGGGGATTAGGCTCCTTAGTTACGAGTTGTACATCTTTTCCTGAGAATTGAATACAGATACTATTCTTTTTCGTGAGTGTACCATTGATTGTTGTGTGTGAGTGTTGTGTAACAATTGGTCTGACCTGTCGGATCCTATTGAGCGTGAAGATCAGAATGGAGGGGCGCATGAAGGTAGTCGAGGGACAGTTGGAACATATGGAGATCGCCATGGACGGTTTGAAGGCGGAAACGGTGGCAATTCGTCAAGACTCAACGACGATGCGCAAAGACTTGCAAGAATTGATAAGGATCACGGGAGGGCAAACCAGACAAATGGATGGGAATTCAGACAGGAGTCAGGGGTCTATTAATGGTAACCGGGGCCACCCAGTTAGCGGAGAAGGGTGGAGTTACCCATTTTCGAAGGACATGACCCACTGAATTGGATAAACCGGCCAGAGAAGTTTTTTGAGATCCGGAGGGTGACAGAATCGGAGAAGGTCGAATTGGCGTATATTAGCATGGAGGGAAGCACAAGGTATTGGTTCAAATTCTGGAAAGAAAAGGGTAGGAATCGATCTTGGGAGGGTCTGAAAGAGGCTATGGTTATCAGGTTTGGAGGCAGGAATTGGGGCAAAATTTTTGAGAGATTGGCAGCGATAAAGCAAACTGGTACAGTGGAGGAATATGTGCAAGATTTCGACGTGTTGGTGGGACAGACCAAGGTGCTTTCGGACGAACAACTGTTGGGTTATTTTCTGGCTAGGATAAGGTAGGAGCTTCTGTGCCAAATAAGACCCCACGATCTTCAAGAACTGATAGTAGCAATAAGGATTGCGCGCGATGTTGAAGACGCACAACGCGGGTCGAGGGCGAGTGGTTGGGCAACGACCAAGAATACTCCTTCTTGGGGGCATTAGACGGGAGGAGGAGGCATGGTGACGAGAACTGAGCCTATAAGAAGCAACCTCGGGAGGACATGTGCGACGGAGAGTGTGGGGTCGATGAGGAGGGAAGGAAACGTGGGAAGCAGTGCGTCGAGGGGCGGAAACACAGTGGGCAGTGATAATAGGTGGCAGAACTCGAGAAATTTGCCTTAACAGAATTCTTGAAGTGGAGGGAGGAAGGGCATTGTTTTAGGTGTGGGGGCCCTTTTAGCCCTGAGCACCATTGCTCATAGAGGAGCTTACAAGTAGTAATACTGGCAGAGGATGAAGAAGAGGATGCTGAAGAGGAGGTGGTCGAGGTTGAACAAAAACTGATGGAGTTATTAGTCATTTCGGCCGAAGGGCTCACCCAACCAAAGACAATGAAGCTGCAAGGGAGAGTTGGGAAGAAGACCGTGCTGATGGAACCCGAGGCACTGCTGAAAATGAAGGAGGTGGAAACATGGCCCTGGTATGGAGTCTGGAGAAGATGGAACGTGGGCAAGTGGAAGGACAAGAACAAGGCTAATTGGGAAGCAAAATGGGGAACTGGAGCAAATCTTAGAGCTTCAGTCAGAGGTCTTTTGTAAGCCCGAGGGACTACTTCCTGACAGGGACAAGGTGCACTAGTTAACGTTGCAAGAAGGAACAAATTCGGTGAATGTTAGACCATATAAGTGTCCTCTCTACCAGACCCCCCTTGCCTTCTTATAGAGGCAACCCACTTCTAACTACCCAACACAATTAATTCCTAAACTGTTTTTTCTCCCCTACATCTATTACCCATTATAACCTCTCATATTAGATCCTATCATTACACTCTGCTGCAGAACAACCTTGTCCTCAAGGTTGGAATCGTGAAATTTGATCTCCTAGCTCCTCTTCATGATCGTGTAATCATACGAAGGGAACCCTCTGGCAACTGCCCTCCAATTCATGTCTGGAGGTTTGGGTGGTGGCAATTCCTCCACCAATGACTTCCATTCTTCTTGGATTTTATTAGCTTCCAACATTTTGGTCACCTCTTTTCCAGAATCATAAGCCCTGAGGAAATGGTCTTCAATGTCTTTTAATGCTTCAAACAACTCTTTCCCCTCTGCGGGTGTATCAAGCGCAAGGCCCCTTTTTTCTTTTCTGGTCCACCTCTTCATAGAATCCATCCTTCTCTCCCGGGCATTGATTCTTCCATCCACCTTTCCCTACCCAGCCTTCATTCTAATTGTAAGACTGTTCAGCCAATGACTTGGAGACCATTTTGACTGTAACACCGTTCGGCCTTTGACTATAACTGTAAGACCGTTCGGGTCCAATAGTCCTCTTCCGTGCGAATTTGGTAGTCCTTTCTTGTTCGGATTCGGTCGTCCTCTCTTGTTTGGATCCAACATATTGTGGGTGTTCAGTACTGACCCCACACTCTCGACGGCTCCCGATCTGCCTAGGTGATTGGCCTCGGATCGCTCGGCGACTTTGGATCTACCTGGGTGATTGGCCTCAGACCGCTCGGCGACTCCCGATCTACCTGGGTGATTGGCTTCTAACCATTCGACGACTCCCGATCGGCCTGGGTCATAGCGATTGGCTTTGGACCGCTGGCAACTCTTGATCGGCCTGGGTTGTAGCGATTGTCCTTGGACAGTGTCACCTCTCCGCTCGGTTGTCTCCAAGACAATTGCTCTTCAATCCTACTCCCATTCCCCACCCTTGCGCCTCCCTAGAACTCCAATTACCAGAAACAACCAGGATCCATCTAGTGTTTCATGTGTCCCAGTTGAAAAAGGCAGTAGGTACTAGGAATGTTGAAAAGGAACTACCAACCAGATCTCCAAGCAGATGGACCAACCTTTTGGCCCTTTTCGTATCTTATATAGGAGACAAGCGCAGTTAGGGGAGGATGTGGTGCAACAGATACTGGTGGAATGGCATGAAGAGGAAGAAATGAGGCGACATGGGAAGATGTTTCAATGATCCAGGATCAATATCTGGATTTCAACCTTGAGGCCAAGGTTGCACATCTAGCAGCGGGTAATGCTAGAGAGTGGAGAGTGTATGAGAGAAGGAGAAAGCACTAATTACCTAACTGCCTAACTGTTTAACAGTTAGAGGTAAGGCGGGAAGGGGAACTGTGTATAAAGGGTTGAGTTCAGTTTTGTAAAGGGGTTGGTTGAGTATCTTTCATTTGATAGTTACAGGACACATTAGTTGTACATGTTTTCTTGAGAATTGAATACAAATACTATTCTTTTTCTTGAGTGTACCATTGATTGTTGTGTGAGTGTTGTTTTTGAGTAGGTTTCTTTCCGAGAAACCTAACAGACTCACTGAGAGATTATAAGATTAAACTTTAGAGATTCTCTTTATAATATAGTCATTATGCAGGAAGCTTGAGGATGGTGACATTGTAAATGTTGATGTCACTGTGTACTATAAAGGTGTCCATGGTAAGTTGCTTACCATATATATGTTTCACAGTTTCGCTTGAAGTTCATAAATTGATTATTGAATAATTTTGTTAATTGTTATGCAGGAGATCTCAATGAAACATACTTTGTAGGAAATGTTGACGAAGAGTCTCGCCAACTAGTAAAATGCACTTATGAGTGCTTGGAGAAGGCAATATCCATTGGTATATATCCATTTGATATCAATTTTAATGTTTCTATATGTTGTTTAAGTTTCAAATATGATTGTATTTTTGAAACATTATAGCAGTCATGGATCTCTTGTTTGTCTTATCTCTCATGTGTACCTGTTAGGTACCTAGGTTTGGAACCTAACAAGAACACACTCAGAAGATAGAAAGAACAATGAAAGAATGGGTTTCTATATTGAAATTGAGAATGATGTACGCTGATAGCGCTAATGCCTAATCCCCTCCTTAGCCGTAACGGAGGCCTGATCCCCCTCTTCTAGCCAAAGTCCAGATTTACAAAATAATACTCAATGATGCCCCTGACAACATAACAAGGTCTTATTTATACAATTTCTCCACCTTCTATCCTAAACCCATTACCCATTATATCCTTTTACTCTATATCCTAACATTACACCTCGCTGCAAAACAACCTTGTCCTCAAGGTTGGAACCGTGACGCTTGATTTCCGGGCTCCTCTTCCACATCGTGTTACCCTATGAAAGGCACCCACTTGCTACTGCCCTCCATTTCAAGTTTGGAGGTTTGGGTGGTGGTCAAAATGAGAGACAAAATTTATGTGACCATTTTCGTGTTTTCATTATTTCCTTGAAGGTGAGGAGCTTCTTATTCTTCCCGGTAAAATAACTTCTTATACCATTCAGCTCGCTCCCCCTGCCTTTATACCGTTCGTCTCCTTCCCCTTCCCTTCAACCGTTTGGCTCTTGTTCCTTTCAACCATTTGGCTTGCATTAACAACCCTTGGCAGAGTTGCTACAAGATCTTCCCAAGAAAAATCCTTGGATTTTTGCTCTCAGGACTTGAACCCCTGTTTTGTCTTGTCTTCTAAGTTCTTTGAAGGTTGGGTTTGTATTGAATTTTCTCCTTTATTTGAGGGTTGTTGTGCTTTCTTGATGTCCTGCAGAAGTTCCTCTCTTCTTTCCTCTCTCCATACTGACACCGCATTCTCGGCGGCTCCTGATCGGCCTAGGTGATTGGCCTCGGACCGCTCGTCAACCATCGATCGACATTGGCTATTGCGCATGGCCTCGAACCGCTCGACAACACTCGATCCGCCTGGGTTATAAGCGATTAACCTCGGACTGTGTCACCTCACCGCTTGTTCGTCCCCCAAACGACTGGTCTTCTATGGCCTCAGACCGCTTGATAACTCCCGATCGCCTTGGGCTATCGCTCATGGCCTCGGACCGCTCAACCAATGACTGGGAGATCGTTTTGACTGTAAGACCGTTCGGCCTTTGACCGTTTGGTTCCGCTTGTCCTCTCACATTCAGATCCAGCGGTTCTCTCCCGTTCGGTTCTGCTTGTCCTCTCACATTCGGATCCAACAGTCCTCTATCGTGTGAATCTGTTAGTCCTCTCCTGTTCAGATCCAGCCGCTCCTCTCCTTTTCGCCTCCATGGAATTCTTCAACACCCCTTGCGATCCGCATCGCCACCATCAATTCCTGCGGGTCATGCGGTCGGACTTGATTCCGAATGTCCTCTTGCAATCCTTTAAGAAAATATCCTAACAGCTGCTCGTCCGGCACCCTCTTCGTTCGACCCGCCCATATCTTGAAGTATTGTACATACTCGTCCACCGTCCCCGTCTGTTTTGATGTTGCCAAACGCTCAACAATGGTTCCAAACCTTACCATCGACACATCCTTCAATCCTGCCCAAGAATGGTTCTTGGCCTTCTCCCTCCAGAATCGGAACCAGTACCCTGCGCTACCCTCCATACTTCTGTATGCTAATCGGACCTTCTCGTCCTTTGATACCCCTTGTAAGTCAAAGAATTTCTCTGCGCGATTGATCTAGTTTAGCGGATCGATCCCCTCGAAGACGGGCAGCTCCACCCGTTTCCTCCCACTGTTTTTCCCCTCGGTACGTTCGTCTTCCTGCCTTCTGTTGGCGTTGACAGATAGACTCTATAGGACTAATGCCATTTAAGATACGAGTGGGTAACGTGTTGATGAGATATGTGGCAGTTAACACAACTTCTCCCCAGTAGTTTTTTGGAACAGACATTTGAAAAAGAATAGCTCTAGTTACTTCAAGAAGATGACAATTCTTTTTTTCAGCAACCCCATTTTGTTGAGGGGTGTTAACACAGGTTAGTTCATGAACAATACCATTATGAGACAAAAAATTGAGAAATTCATGATTCACATATTCAGTACCATTATCAAACCTAATTCTTTTGATATTTTTTCCAAATTGATTTTGGACAAGATGGAAAAATTAACAAAAAGTTGAAAAACTTCGGATTTATTTTTCATAAGATATGTCCATGTGACACGGTACAATCGTCAATAAAGGTAACAAACCATTTGGCTCCGGAAATAAAATCTATGACAAGACCCTGAATTATATCAAATGGTGAAATACTCTTTTTATTACTAATAGGATAAGATGCATGATGGTGTTTTGACAATTGACAAATATCACAATTAAAAGACTCAACAGACTCTTTGGTAAACAAATGGGGAAACAAGGACTTGATAAGACTAAATGAAATATGCCCAAGCCTTTGATGATGTAGCCATATTTGGGAATTTGCCCACGTCTCAGATGTAGCTTGTTGACTCATAATTTGTGTTGTTTTGGTCATCAAACTCTAAAAAATACAACCCACTTTGCTCCNTACTATAAAGGTGTCCATGGTAAGTTGCTTACCATATATATGTTTCACAGTTTCGCTTGAAGTTCATAAATTGATTATTGAATAATTTTGTTAATTGTTATGCAGGAGATCTCAATGAAACATACTTTGTAGGAAATGTTGACGAAGAGTCTCGCCAACTAGTAAAATGCACTTATGAGTGCTTGGAGAAGGCAATATCCATTGGTATATATCCATTTGATATCAATTTTAATGTTTCTATATGTTGTTTAAGTTTCAAATATGATTGTATTTTTGAAACATTATAGCAGTCATGGATCTCTTGTTTGTCTTATCTCTCATGTGTACCTGTTAGGTACCTAGGTTTGGAACCTAACAAGAACACACTCAGAAGATAGAAAGAACAATGAAAGAATGGGTTTCTATATTGAAATTGAGAATGATGTACGCTGATAGCGCTAATGCCTAATCCCCTCCTTAGCCGTAACGGAGGCCTGATCCCCCTCTTCTAGCCAAAGTCCAGATTTACAAAATAATACTCAATGATGCCCCTGACAACATAACAAGGTCTTATTTATACAATTTCTCCACCTTCTATCCTAAACCCATTACCCATTATATCCTTTTACTCTATATCCTAACATTACACCTCGCTGCAAAACAACCTTGTCCTCAAGGTTGGAACCGTGACGCTTGATTTCCGGGCTCCTCTTCCACATCGTGTTACCCTATGAAAGGCACCCACTGGCTACTGCCCTCCAGTTCAAGTCTGGAGGTTTGGGTGGTGGTCAAAATGAGAGACAAAATTTATGTGACCATTTTCGTGTTTTCATTATTTCCTTGAAGGTGAGGAGCTTCTTATTCTTCCCGGTAAAATAACTTCTTATACCATTCAGCTCGCTCCCCCTGCCTTTATACCGTTCGTCTCCTTCCCCTTCCCTTCAACCGTTTGGCTCTTGTTCCTTTCAACCATTTGGCTTGCATTAACAACCCTTGGCAGAGTTGCTACAAGATCTTCCCAAGAAAAATCCTTGGATTTTTGCTCTCAGGACTTGAACCCCTGTTTTGTCTTGTCTTCTAAGTTCTTTGAAGGTTGGGTTTGTATTGAATTTTCTCCTTTATTTGAGGGTTGTTGTGCTTTCTTGATGTCCTGCAGAAGTTCCTCTCTTCTTTCCTCTCTCCATACTGACACCGCATTCTCGGCGGCTCCTGATCGGCCTAGGTGATTGGCCTCGGACCGCTCGTCAACCATCGATCGACATTGGCTATTGCGCATGGCCTCGAACCGCTCGACAACACTCGATCCGCCTGGGTTATAAGCGATTAACCTCGGACTGTGTCACCTCACCGCTTGTTCGTCCCCCAAACGACTGGTCTTCTATGGCCTCAGACCGCTTGATAACTCCCGATCGCCTTGGGCTATCGCTCATGGCCTCGGACCGCTCAACCAATGACTGGGAGATCGTTTTGACTGTAAGACCGTTCGGCCTTTGACCGTTTGGTTCCGCTTGTCCTCTCACATTCAGATCCAGCGGTTCTCTCCCGTTCGGTTCTGCTTGTCCTCTCACATTCGGATCCAACAGTCCTCTATCGTGTGAATCTGTTAGTCCTCTCCTGTTCAGATCCAGCCGCTCCTCTCCTTTTCGCCTCCATGGAATTCTTCAACACCCCTTGCGATCCGCATCGCCACCATCAATTCCTGCGGGTCATGCGGTCGGACTTGATTCCGAATGTCCTCTTGCAATCCTTTAAGAAAATATCCTAACAGCTGCTCGTCCGGCACCCTCTTCGTTCGACCCGCCCATATCTTGAAGTATTGTACATACTCGTCCACCGTCCCCGTCTGTTTTGATGTTGCCAAACGCTCAACAATGGTTCCAAACCTTACCATCGACACATCCTTCAATCCTGCCCAAGAATGGTTCTTGGCCTTCTCCCTCCAGAATCGGAACCAGTACCCTGCGCTACCCTCCATACTTCTGTATGCTAATCGGACCTTCTCGTCCTTTGATACCCCTTGTAAGTCAAAGAATTTCTCTGCGCGATTGATCTAGTTTAGCGGATCGATCCCCTCGAAGACGGGCAGCTCCACCCGTTTCCTCCCACTGTTTTTCCCCTCGGTACGTTCGTCTTCCTGCCTTCTGTTGGCGTTGACAGATAGACTCTATAGGACTAATGCCATTTAAGATACGAGTGGGTAACGTGTTGATGAGATATGTGGCAGTTAACACAACTTCTCCCCAGTAGTTTTTTGGAACAGACATTTGAAAAAGAATAGCTCTAGTTACTTCAAGAAGATGACAATTCTTTTTTTCAGCAACCCCATTTTGTTGAGGGGTGTTAACACAGGTGAGTTCATGAACAATACCATTATGAGACAAAAAATTGAGAAATTCATGATTCACATATTCAGTACCATTATCAAACCTAATTCTTTTGATATTTTTTCCAAATTGATTTTGGACAAGATGGAAAAATTAACAAAAAGTTGAAAAACTTCGGATTTATTTTTCATAAGATATGTCCATGTGACACGGTACAATCGTCAATAAAGGTAACAAACCATTTGGCTCCGGAAATAAAATCTATGACAAGACCCTGAATTATATCAAATGGTGAAATACTCTTTTTATTACTAATAGGATAAGATGCATGATGGTGTTTTGACAATTGACAAATATCACAATTAAAAGACTCAACAGACTCTTTGGTAAACAAATGGGGAAACAAGGACTTGATAAGACTAAATGAAACATGCCCAAGCCTTTGATGATGTAGCCATATTTGGGAATTTGCCCACGTCTCAGATGTAGCTTGTTGACTCATAATTTGTGTTGTTTTGGTCATCAAACTCTAAAAAATACAACCCACTTTGCTCCTTAGCAGTTAAAATCGTCTTCCCCGTGGCAAGGTCCTGAAAAACACAATAAGTTGGAAAAAATGTTACTGAACAATTTAAATCCTTTGTGAGTTTTTGCACAGAGATAAGACTATTAGCTAATTGAGGAACATGTAAAACATCCTTCAATATAATAGATGAGTCCAAAATTATATTCCCAGAGCCTCATATAGGTATACCCTGACCATTCGCAACTATAATAAGTTGTGCTTTATTGCTTTTACCATGAGTCGAAAGACCCACTAAATGGTGTCATATGATCAGTTGCACCTGAATCAAGGATCCAAATACCTTGAGACACTTGACCAACACTATTGAGACAAATCTTACCTTTTATGAACAGAGTACATGATCCAGAGGGCTTACTCATTGATTCAACCATTGCTTCCAAGCGCTCTAGTTTCTCCATTTAGCATGACAGTTCTCCGAGTTTCTTCTCCTCTTACCTTAAAAAAAAACTTCTGACAGGGATAGTAATTTTTCTCTTCCAAAAATCTGAACCCGGATTGGGACATACTCATGATTCAAGCCCTGGAGAAATTTAAAGATTCTTCCCCTTTCAATGAATTCAGCAAGAGCAGCAGCATCTGTTTTACACATCTTTATTGTTTGGTTCTGTTCGAATTCCATCCAAAGACCACTTAGGATTCCGTGATATTCTGATACGGAAAGGGAGCCCTGTTTTGTATTAAATATCCTGTACTCAATGTCATAGTAAGCAGCAAGATCCTTTTTTAAAGAAAAAGTGCTCTGTAAATCATCCCATATTTCTCTTGTAGAAGAATGCAACATATAATTTCTCCTTATCTCAGGAATCATGGATTGCCACATCCAAGTCATAATTAATGAATCTTCATTGTCCCAAATTGAGAAATAAGTGTCATCAGGTTCTGGTCCTCCTCCATCTATGTGATCAAGTTTTGAAAGACCCTTGAGAACCCTTCGAATAAATTGGCTCCATTGTAAGTAATTTTGACCGTCCAACCGATCGGTACCTCCTATATTTGGTAGGTCATTAGGTACTCCCAAAGGAACCCTTTTTACTTCAAACATCCTGTAGAACGGAACTAGGAGTCTCCGGTGACCTTTTCCGAGACGATGACGGCGTGTGGGTCACACCGAGAAGAGGAGCAAAACCTTCAAAATCATATATGCTCAAATATAGGCCAAACGAGACGTCACCGACCCCAGGAACAGACTCAGGAGGCTCCGACGACCCTGTCTGTGGCGGCGGTGGCGAGTGGGTCTCGCCGGAGGTGAGCGTGTGGGCTACACGCGCCGGCGTTGTGATCGCCGGTGTTGGGCGCACCTTTCTGCCCTATCAACAACCCCAACCAACGGCGGCAGCAGCGGTGGTCGGACAGCGGCGGCGGTGCGACTCTGTTGCAGCGGAATGGAGAGCCCCTAGATTTAGAGCTCTGACACCAAGTTTAAAATAAGACTTATTTATTATTATCAATCATGAAAAATACATTCTCATATCCTCTATTTGTAATAATCTAAAAAGTAGTGAATCATACTGGATGAGCTACTCGGTATGTTGTAGATAAGTATGTATTGAAAGTATTAATAAATGATGTTTATGGATGACCATACAAGCATGCATTTTGCATTCGGATTATATTGTGTTTATTTGGTTTGAAATATTTTATAATTAAAATGTATATATAATATTTTAGTAATTTAAACTAGGGGACCCTGATCCATCTTTTTTGGCTAAATTTAGTTAAACCTGGGATAAGATTCCGTGAAATTGGTGAAGTTATTAATCGTCATGCTTCAATGTCTGGCTTCTCAGTGGTAATGTTTTACTTTTTGCTTCTTTATTTTCTTAATCTATTTATTGTTATTAGTTCACTATAGTGAATTCTTATCTTCTGTTAGTTTTTTTCCACTTAGGTAAAATCATACTGTGGTCATGGAATTGGAGAGCTCTTCCACTGTGCACCAAACATTCCTCATTATGCTAGTATCCTTCCTTAGTTTTTAAGCATTCAAAGGTATTGAAATGCTTTTTTTGGAAATTATTTTTTGCATCCTCTGATTGATCTTATCATTCAGCACAGTATACACATTTATTTTAATATAAAGTGACCAATTGTTTTTTTCTTAGGCATATAAAAGGGCTTGTAAACTTAGAAATTGTTGTATAGATGTTAGACTTTCACTTCCTATTGACAATCATCTTGTACATAACATCACTTGCTTGAAACATCATCCAATGTGAACCTCTTGCTTTTCTATCCCTTTCAACAAAGAATAAAGCTAGAAAGTAGAAAGAGAACATGTGGAATGTATACACCTTAACCACTTAACAGGAAATAAAGCAGTTGGTGTGATGAAGGCTGGACAAACCTTTACAATTGAACCAATGATCAATGCTGGTATGCTTACACTTTCTATAATCGCTTAAATAGATAACGAATGGATATACATGCAACAGTTGTAAGATTATTTTTTTAATAGGTGTCTGGCGTGATCGTATGTGGCCTGATGGATGGACTGCTGTTACAGCTGATGGTAAACGAAGTGCTCAATTTGAGCACACTCTTTTGGTAAGTCCATTTATGTTTTTTTCCCGAGTCCTATTACAGTATTCTATCTGTTTTCTTCATTTTGTCACGGTCTTGATGAGCTGAAAGGTGATAATAAATTAGAGAAAATGATGGAAATTTTAAATTTTGGTTGGAGTTTTCATTAACCACTAGTTCTTTAGTTTCTCACCTCTATATATAATGTTAATGATATTGATGTGATACAAACATGCGAGACTAAGCCTTTGCAAACTATTAAGATACCAGAGAACAAAAAATGTCTTGGTTCAATGTAGGTTTAAATTTTTGGGTATATTGCGGGTTCAAACCTATAATCTCATGCAAAATATCTGAATTCTACACCTCTCAATTGGATTTAAAGCCATGGTGGTTTCTTTATCTTTATTGTGTATACATTAGTAGTTCATGACTGTTTTTAGCTGATTGTACCTATTTAATAGTTCATGGCTTTCATCATAATTAGGTGACAGATACTGGTGTTGAAGTTCTAACAGAGAGGTTGCAGACATCACCCGATGTTTTTCCTTGGCTAAATTCTTAATTGGGTGAATCAATACGAGGACAGATGCTCACAGTTTCTAAATATAGGAAGAATTTCTTTGCTCTATTTCTCTGGTTGGCTCTTTTGGGTATTGTGTTTGTAAGGTATACAAAAAGAAACAGAAGCAAAATTCATTTTTGTTTAGGTGAAAATTAATTCAACAATTTTGCCTTGTGTTCTTTCTATGCTCTGGTAGTTAAGGCAATAATGATGTTTTAGCCAAGTTTTGAACACCAGGTCTTAATTACCACATTTTTGGGTTAATGTCTTGTTTACGTACTATTTCTTGCAACATTTTCATTATTTATGTGATAATCAGTTCTATCTTATCTTCCCTGAACAATGCAAATTAATCATCAAGATTATTGTTTTAAACATGTTTTCATTTGACAGAAATAGTTCCACAGTTTTTTCTTATTATTCATTATTTGAAGTGCTTCTGTTCAAAGTTTAGCTTTGCTTATAAGTTGCTGAAATATATTTTTCGCTTCTCTTTTTATGGAAAGTAAATCTAAATGTTAAATAAATGCACTTTAAAGAATCAGTATAAGTCTTTTATTATAAATTTCGAATTTTAAAAATGTGGTATAATTAAATCTTTATATTTCAATGACTATTCACTTTGTAAAGTTTGGCGAATTGTAATTTCTATATCGGGAAAATTTTAATAGAAGATGGATGTTTTTATTTTTTTATTGTTGAAAATAGTGATAATAAGTTGACAATGAACAATATTACAACAATATGACAATCTTTCTTATTGTCTTTTGATCCGCAAAGAAAAATATATATTCATAAACGTGTGTAACCTATGTACAAAATTAGATCTAGCTACAAATTTACGACAATGTCCAAAATAAAAAAGATCAGTTAAAATTAGGAGAAAGAAAGCTTCCTCATACCATAACATTAAAATAACAAAGTAATAACTAAACTAATATTTGGTGCCGCTCCTATGAAAAGAATCATTGTTCTTACATTATTTCATAAAAATGTTATCAAGTGATTGTATACTTCGAACGAGTGTTTTCAAAACCTAAGTTTGTTAATAATTACTAGTACAATATGATCAACGAATGCAATTCTAGATAACTGACCAAAGCAGAGTATGCTCTACCAAACTCAAATTGTTCCAAGTTAAAAAAATATTGAACATAAAATATAAACAGAAAATAAGGTAGTTTGGTTTGCTCTAGTTTTTCAGAAAACATAGTTGATTTTGTTTAAGTTTTATTTCACTTACGAAAATTTAATAGGTAACCAAATCAAATATAATTAATATAATTAATATAATTAATATAATTAATTATAAAATTAAATATATTTTTAGTGTCCGAACTTGATATAAAATTAAAATTCGTCCAATGTTTAAATTTTGATACATTTTTGTTCTCAAATTTAAAAAATAAAGAAATATAAATTTTTAATTCAATTATTTAATATCTTTTTACATGTCAAGTGACACATAAAAAAATTAACATAATAATTAAATTAAAAAAATATATTTATTTATTTTTAAAATTTTAAAAAATAAAATAGGTTAAAATTTTATATCAAAATAAATTTTAATTTCGAAACGAAGTTTAAATATTAAAAACATATTTAATAATATAGTTTTGTCATACCTATGTGTAACATCCCAAAAATACAGTGTAAAACTATATAATAGAATAATCACATTTAATAATATTACAGCTAAGTCTTACATAATAGAGAAGTAAGCTTGTGGCCGAACGACCTTACAGAAAGAACTAGAAAATTAAAATCGAACTACATAAGCAAACCCCGACCGAATGGTTTACAAAAAAAGACTATACCGAACGGTCCTATGAAAAGAAGAGGGAAAAGATGATCGAACGATCATCTTAAAACTAAGTTAATAAACTGACCGAACGGTTCTACTGTTCGGTCTTAACTTCTACCTCAACTAAATTCTCTTCTTCCAGCACTTCTTCTAGCAGCTCGTCTCCTTCTGCTCACATCCACATGGATGATCATTGCAACAGAAGGACAACCGATCGCACAAAACAGACAAGACATGAAACATAGGGTAAGCTTATGTAATTTAATTCATGTACAAACATATATTTCACACAATCAAAACCAAACAAAATAATTCATCACTCGCTCATGCAAAGCCTAATACTAGACTGATTGTTCGGACTGTATGAATTATGTGTAGCTACGACGTTCGTGCACCCGGGTGATGTAGTAACTGGGATACCCTCAACAGCTGCCACCCGAGGTTAGTCCTATCTGTCCAAATTAACCATAAGGACTAGGACCTCCTGCCATTCCCACTCATGACTTACCCTTCTCTACGTGAGAACGAGTAATCACGGAATATCAGGATGAACCGCCAGCGTAGCATGCCCACATTCATACTTTACCAAATTTCCAATATTCATTCATGAGCTATTCCTCCCCGGAACGCTCGTTCATAATCCAATTCATTTCGTACACATCATATTTCATCATCTTTCATTAATAAGACCTCAATGAGATCAATTTGAATAAAAGTCTCTGAAGATACCAAATGTCGAACGTTAACTT